GAAGGAGGGTCTAGGCCCGAAATGTCAGCCTTCCTGCTCCTCTGATGCTGCTTGGCCTGCTGTGTTCATCCAGCTCTACACCTTGTTATCTCTGTAAGAGCTACCCACTTATCCTTATTCCGCTACCATTTGCCCTTCGGCATTCCTATACTGGCTATCTACATAGTTCCACTTTCAAGCTCTTGTACCACACCACAGATTCACAACATTATTACAATGCATAAAAAGGCTATTTGGTCCATTGTGCCTGCATTGGCTCACTGAATGTTCATCATGACTTAATGACCTCCGTTTCCCCATAACACTGCACATTATTTCCTTTTAAATAATCATCTAATGCTGTCTTGAATAGGTCAATTGACCCTGCTGTTGCCACGACTCCAGGCACTGTATTCTATGCCCAAAACATTTGCTACATTCCTTCTCACATTACACTGACTTCTTTTGTGAACCACTCTAAATTTGTGTCCTCTCACTCTTGATCCATTTACGAGCAGGAATAGTTTCTCCCTGTTAACTCTGTCCAGATCTCTCATGCTTTTGAAAACTTCATTCAAATCTCCTCTCAGAATTATAAGGAAAATAGTCCCAAATTCTCCAGTCTATCATTGTAACTGAAGCTTCTCATCCCCGGAACCATTCTTTTACGTCACTTCTGCAATTTCTCCAATGCATTCATGCCTTTGAGGTCTAATCAGTGGTTTATAGCTTTAGTATAATCTCTCCGACTTGCCTTCTATGCCACATTCTTGCATTGTGTCTGCCTCATTAACTATACTGTCCACCTGTCCTGCCACTTTACACATGTATACACCCAGGTCTCTGCTCCTGCACACCTTTAGGAGCAGTACCCTTCATTTTATACTGTTTCTCAATAATCGTTCCAATGAGATGCATCACCTCACACTTCTCTGCATTGAACTTCATCTGCCAGCCTCTCACTCTTGATTCATTTATTAGCAGGAATAGATTCTACCTTTTTAACTCCGCCCATCCACTAACTTTTCAATTTCCCTCTGAAGTTCTACATTGTCCTCTTCACAGTTTATAATATTTCCAGGTTTTGTATCATTTGCAAACTTTGAGATTTTCCCCTGCACTCCAAGATCATTAACATAAATCCGGAAAAGCAAGAGTGCTCAGGTGAACACCACTACAAAACTTCCTCTGGCCTCAAAAACTATCCATTAAGCATTACTCTCTGCTCCTTTTTCACATTGCTAGTACTTCCTTTACTCCATGACCCATAACTTTTCACACAAGTCTGTTGAACACACTATATCGAATGCATTTTGGAATCTATGTACAACATCAGTAGCATTACCCTCATCAGCTTGTTGCCTCTTCAAAGAATTCCAAAAAACTAATTAAACACAATTTTCCCTCATGAAATCCATGCTGGTTCTCCCCAATTAACCCATGTTTGTCCATGTGAATATGAATTCTATCCAAAATTATTGTTTCTATGTGTTTTCCAGTACCAACTTTAGATTAGCAGGCCTGTAATTGCTGGACTTTTCCTTACTAGATTTTTTGAGTAAGGGTGTAATAGCTGCACTTTCCCAGTCCTCTGGCACCGCCCCCGTGTCCAGGGAAAGGAGAAAAAATTATTGCCAGTGCATCTGCAATTCCTGCTTTCATTTTTCTATCAATATCCTTGGATGCATCTTATCTGATCTGGGTGTTTTGTCAACTCTAAGTACCAACAGCTTATCCAAAACTTAAACCAAAAACCAAACAAAACTGCAGGAGCTGGAAATCTGAAACAAAAACAGAAACTACTGGAGGAACTCAACAGATCTGGCAGCATTTGTGGAGAGAAAGTAGAGTTAATGTTTCCAATCCAGTGACCCTTCTTCTGAACTGACTGTAGCCAGAAAAAGGATGGGGGGCAGCGAGGGGGTAGGCATTGGAGGTGGAGAGAAGTAGGAGTAAATGATTGTTGGAGATGGAGCCCAGAGAGAGAGAACAGCAGTTGGGCAGATAAAGGAATGATTTCCCCATTCCTCATTGACTGCTCCAGCTCAGACTCATCTCACATGGATTCCAATTTAAGTTTCATCCTTCATTTCTTGAATCCACGCAGGATCACGGGTATCTCTGTGATGTACAACACTCCTCAGACAGCTGTTCTCATTGCACTCTGAGATTCACACTCAGTGCCATGCATTGCCATATGCACACTCTCGACCTTTCTCTCCATCAGCACTGCCTCTCACTGGCTCAGAGCTGTCATACCTCCAGTTCCAGCTCATTCTTAGGCTCGTTTGATATTCAAACAAGAAACTTTTTCATTTCCTTTCAGGCTTTAAGGAGCATGAGCTGTCATGCCACCTGGAACCCCCCTTGCCTCCCTTTCCCTCTGTCTCCATCCCTTCTTCCAACCACACTTCCTGTTGAGTGTTTACTATCCCTACTGAACTTGCGCTCTCTGAGGCTGAACATTCTGTACTCAGCAAAGTTTGTAGTTTTTGCGTCCCCACCTCAATCAGTTTCGGGCACAACATGGCATGGAGCTCTTGTTCCGTCGTCTTCACCTCCATGCCCATTTCATTGGACAAGGGCCCCCTCCCAATGCCACAGGCACTTTCACCAGCCTCCAATACTCTCCCTCCATCTGGACACCTCTACTTCCCTCCGAACTGATATTCTCCATACCCCCAGATCCAACCCTGACTTTGTTATCAAGCCTGCTGATAAGGACGGTGCTGTTGTTATCTAGAGTACAGGCTTCCACGTTCCTATCTCCCCCTACACCATGACCCCACCATGGAACATCAGGCTGTTGTGTCCATAACCATCACTAGTCTCATTTCATCTGCGCTGCCTCCAAGCTCATGGAAACAAACCCTATACAGTTCACTTCTACCTCCTTCCCAAAATCTACAACCACGAATGCCTGGTCGGACACATTGTTTCTGCCTGCTCCTACCCCTTGGAACCCACCTCTTCCTACCTGGGCTCAATTTTTTTCTCCCCGTGTCCAGTCCCTTACTGTTTATATCAGTAATTCTTCTCACACTTTACATCAGTTTCAGAATTCCAGTTTACGGGCTCTACCCAGCTCCACTTCACCGTGGACATACAATCTTTTTATACATTCATTCCTCATCAGGATGGTCTCAGGGCTGTCTGCTTCTTCCTGGGAAAAAAGCCTGAACCATCCCCACCCACTACCATCCTCCTAGGCCTAGCCGAGCTCGTCCTCACGACTTCGCCTTTAACTCCTCTCACTTCCGTCAGGTAAAAGGGGTGGCCATGGGTGCCCACATGGGTCCCATTATGTCCATTTCTTTGTGGACTACGTGGAACATTCCTTATTCCAATCCTACTCGGGTCCCTTTCCACAACTCTTTCTCCAGTATATCAATGACATCATTGGTGCTGCTTCCCGCTGTCATCTGGAATTGGAAAGCTTCATCAATTTCACTTCCAATTTCTACCCTGCCCTCACCTTCACCTGGTCCGTCTTTGACTCTTCCTTTCCCATTCTCGATACCTCTGTTTCGATTTCTGGGGATAGGCTGGCCACAAATATCACTACAAACTGAATGACTCCCACAGCTACCTGGACTGCACACCCTCACACCCTGCTTCCTGTAAAGACTCTATTCCTTCTCCCAGTTTCTCCATCTCCGTTGCATCTGTTCCAATGATGCCAACTTCCACAATGGGACCTCTGATATGTTCATCTTTTTCCTCAACTGAGGATTCCCCACCACCATGGTTGACTGGGCCCTTAGCTGCGTCCAACCCATCTCTCACACTTTTGGACCTCACCTCTTCTCTTCTCTCCCACAACATCGATAAAGTCCCTCAGTCCCTAGCCTCCACATTCATAGAATGATAAGCTGCCATTTCCACCATCTCCGGCAGGATGCCACCACCAGACACATATTCCCCTCTCCTCTCTTGTCAGCATTCCTTAGGGACTGTTCCTTCTCGACACCTTGGGGTCCACTCCTCCTCTCCTCCCAACACCTCCCTGCATCCCCACAGCACCTACCCCTTGTTATGAGCCAGACCAAACTCCCTGCAAATATATCAAGGAGATGGCCTAGACCCTAACTTTCATGTTATTTAAACGCAACTCACTTTGTCAATATTAAATGCTCTAATTCATTCTTGTGCAAGGAGAGGCTGTTGATTAATAAGTAAGTCCAGGGTTTCTCCAGTTGGTAGCATCAAGTGTCCCAATTCAACTATTGTCCAGGTTAGGTATGGACTAAACCTTTTTTTTTATCAGATTCTGCAGTACGTTTGGCTGTTAGTTGAAAGTTTGGTGGTTTCAGACCATCCAGCAACGAAATCCTTGTTGTTTCAGGCTCTGTGGCACAAAGGTAGTGTACTCACCTATGAGCCAGTAGGCATTGAGTCAAGTCCTACCTCCTCTAGAGGTGTGTCATAACACATCTGAACAGATTGATTACAAATCTACTATTGAAAGCTCTCTCTTCCTGACCTGAGCCGAGCACCTATTTGTGCAAAGATGAGATTTCTATTTCCCACAATTGTCAATTGTGTGGATTTGCCAAATGAGGTTATTGATTTGTGGTCAAGGTGTATTAATCAGGGATAATGGTTCAACCCGGCCAAACTCCAGTCCATCAGCCTTCAGGCAATTTATTACTTCTTTCTAAGGCTCTCAGCCTCCCACACATACTCCTTTCCCTTTGCCAGAAAGAAGTTCTCTACAACCTACTTAGCATACTTCAATCTATGGAAATCTTTCTTCAGGGAATGGAGTAGTGTTTGGCCAGTGATGCTCCAGACAACACTGCTCCCTGCTTTTTATCCTATCCTCTCACCTGGATCTGAGATTGGGGACCAGAGTTATGAGCTTCACCCTCCAGCCCCATAACATACACACCATTTGACGATATTCATGCTACACATTACCTTCACGTTTATCCTGATCCTCATTTCGTTCCACAGAACCTGAAGATGTTCCTTTCTGTCCTTGACCTTTATTTCTGAAAACAAACCAGGCAAAACGGTAAAACACAATACCTTACAAATTGACATATTAGGAGATACACAGAGGACAGGAATGGAAGTATCCACCCTTTCACAAACAGGCAGTCAGAAGGAGATAAAATTAACAGTAGAGGAAGTATATAAGAGTGTTTATGTTTATGACAAAGTTAATCAGGAACTAACATGAAAATAATCAGATTGTGTTCAATACAGTATGGGATAATAATTTGTTTGTGGCATCTTGTGAGCTTGGGGATTACAATTCCTAACTCGTCGACATCTGTTGAAACAGAGAAGAAAGTTGGACTCATTCAACTGCTGGGCTGCAAGCACAGCTGAAACAGAACAGCGTGAAAAGCTGGTGCACGAGGCTTGCACAGCTGATCTCCAGCACTTAATGGTAGACTGTTCCCTCTGAAAGGGCAGCTGCACAGGATAACTAAAAGCTACAACTGTCTGATATCGCAACAGTTAAACAGAGGCTATGAATAACATCTGGACAGTGAGTGGGCTCCAAAGTTCATAGATGCAGTGCTGGAGACTTTCATAATGGACGTAAGGAAAATAAATTGATCCTACAGGAGTCAGGGGTGGGATATAGAGGAAACCTTCCAAAGGAAATGTAAGCATGGAAACATACAAAATCAGAGCAGGAGGAGGCTATTCAGCCCTTTGTGTCTGCTCCACCATTCATTATAATCAATAGTCTGTTCCCACTTTTCCTCCAATCCTTTGATCCCTTTAGCCTCAATTGCTATATCCAACTGCTTCTCAAAATTATATAATGTTATAGCCTTGACTGCCTTCTGTAGTGAATTCCATAGGCTCACCACTCTGTGTGGGTGGATAAATTTCTCCTCATCTCAGTCCTGAACGGTTTACCCCTTATCCTTAAACTATGAGCCCGGTTCTGGACTCCCACATCATTGGGAACATCCTTCCTGCATCAAACCAGTCCAGCCCTGTCAGAATTTTAGAGGCTTCTATAAGATCTCCCCTCATTCTCCTGAATTCTAGAGAATAAAATTTTAATCAATTCAACCTCTCCATTACTATCAGTCCTGCCATCCCAGGAATCAATCTGGTAAACCTTTGCTGCACTCCCTCAATAGCAAGAACATCCTTCTTCAGATAAGGATACCAACACTGCACACAATATTCCAGGCATGGTCTCACCAAGGCCCTATGTAATTGCACCAAGCCATCCTCACTGTTATACTCAAATCCTCTTGCTATGAAGGCCACTTTACAATTTGTCTCTTTTGCCACCTGCTGTACCTGCATGTTTACCTTCAGCGACTGGTGCACAAGGACACCCAGGTCTTATTGAACATTCCCCACTCTCAATTTATAGCCACTCTGATAATAATCCGCCTTCCTCATTTTTATTCACATTTACTCACATTATACCGCATTTGCCCACTTGCTTGGCTTGTCTAAATCACACAGAAGCATTTCTCCATCTTCCTCACAGTTTGCCCTCCCAGCAGGTGACGAGGGAAGTCAATGTTGAAAGTCTGGCAGCAGGGTGGGAAGATGTTTAATGACCTCTAATACATAGTCAATGTCAGTGAATGCACCTTCACTTCACATCACAGGCTGATGTAACACTAGCCTCTCTTACCTCTCTGATTGCACATAATCTCATCGTTCATCAGCAGTTTTCATTACCACTCAGAACTCGCATCTGACATTTTATTTTTCTGAAAAGAAAGAAGAGTCTTGACCTGAAACATCAACTTTCCTGCTCTTCTGATGCTGCCTGGCCTGCTGTGTTCCTCCAGCTCCATACTGTGTTATCTTTGACTCCAGCATCTGCAGTTCTTACTATCTCTGATATTTACACACTCCATCTTAGCCCTTCATACCCTCACTTTCTCTCTCTCTCTTTGAGTCTCTATTTCCTTTTATTATCTCATTTTCACATATGTCCTGCTGATTTTACCATGTTTACTGTATCTCCATTTCTCAGCTGGTAGTACTTTCATTCCACTGAGAGACTGCTGCACTATCACAGCCACTGTCTATCACATGAAATATTAACAGAAAATACTGCCTGAGATAACAAGGTGTAGAGCTGGATGAACACAGCAGGCCAAGCAGCATCAGAGGAGCAGGAAGGCTGATGTTTCGGGTCTAGACCCTTCTTCAGAAAAGGAAATATTGCCTGTTCAGGTGGACGTGGCACCATTTGAAAATGAGCCACAGAAATGCTCTCAGTTTACTTGGCAATATTCATTTCTCATTGAACATTAATAAACATATAAATAGATTCTTTGATCATTTATCTCATTCTTATCTTTGAGTCCTTGCTGTATGAAATTTAGGTGCAATGTTTCCTTACAATACAGTAGTGACTAAACTTCAAAAGTACTTCATTGCCTGTAAAGGACTTCAGCACATCCCGAAGTTCTGATAAGGACTATATAAATACAAATTCACATTTTCCTAGAATGCAGGTGTTGGAAAGTCAAGCTCAAGCTGATGTAATCATTATTTCTTATCTTTTGAATTTTAACAGCTTGCTCTATTTCACCAAATTTCTCAATTAAAAGGAATCATTCAAATCAGTAAGTGAATATATATAATGTTTAATGCAATTATTTGTGCCCCTAAATTTTCTGTTCTTTCAGATATTCCACTAAGCAGCATGTATTTTTCAAATGCAAATTATTAAAAACAAATCCATCCTTAGGAAATGGACTTCGTTGACAAGAATGGCCTTTATTAAGAGTAGCCTGAGAAGATAACAGAAACACTGTCTTTAGTAGCAGTTTGATACAATTAATTGCTCTTCTAGACCACTTCAGGAACAACCATATTTGTATGGGGCTGGACTCACATTTAGAACAAACTGGATAGCAAGGCTATGTTTCCTTCTCTAAAGGATACCAGTGAACCACTTGGGTTTATCTAACAATTTGATAGGCTTTTAACTTCCAGGTCTTTAAATTTTAAATAAAGTGTTACAACTTCCATTATGGGAGTTCAACTCACCCACACTGGAATACTAATCCAGTAATAAAATCACAATATGACTATACCCTTTAATGTAAGGTCATTTGCAATAAGTCATTCTGTGCGCACAATAACAAACAGGCAAGACATAAAAACCAAGAAGCTCATTTAAATCTTACTTTTTGGAAGGTTTCCAGCAGGCACACACAGTTACCAAGGTAACTAGAAGGAAAATCCCGCCTGTAGAGAGGATGATATATAAAGAACTCCGCCCTAGAAAAAAAATAACAAGATCACTCTCCAATCCTTCAGCCTGTGAATTTTAAGTGGAAGTATTCTAGTTATGTTTAGAAGAACAGCAAGGGGCCCTCTTGTGGTGCAGTCGTAACATCTCTTTCCTGAATGGAGAGACCCAAAGTTCAAGTCCCGCTAGAGGTCTGTAACAGGTTGATTAGGAAAAATATGTTAAAAAAACAGAATAACACAAGAAAGGGCCATTCAACCCATAAAACCTCTTTTACTCACACTATCATAGAATCTTTGAATTTTACAGCATAGTGAGAGGCCACTTGGCACAATGTGTCTGTGGTGCCTCCATGACACTTGGCTTTAAATATTGAAAGATTGATCCATTTCCCTTTGAAAAGCTTTTGGTGTCTGATCACAACACTGCTTTTGAGAAGGCATATTGGTTGCTAACAACTCTCTGCTTTAAAATAAAATTCTCCTAACATTTTAGGAACATAGGAACAGGAGTAGGCCATTCGGTGCCTCCAGCCTGTTCTGCTATTCAGTGATTATGGCTGATCTGTGGCTTAACTCCATATACCTGCCCTTTGGCCATATCACTTAATACCTTTGCTTTAACAAAAACTGATCTACCTCAGATTTAAAATTAACAACTAATCTAGCATTCACTGGCACTTGTGGAAGAGAATTCCAAACATCTACCACCCTTTCTGTGTAGATTTATCTTTGCTACCCCGTCTTTTCTTGTTAATATCTTGGAGACATTGATCAAATCACCTCTTAACCTTATAAATTCTAAAGAAAACAGATTAGTTTATATAATCCTTCCTCATAACTTAACCCTTGGAGTCTAGGTATCATTCTTCTAAACCTATATTGTAGTCCGTCCAAGGCCAATCTATCCTTCCTAAGGTGTGGTGCCCAGATCTGCTCACAGTACTCCAAGTGGGGTCTAACCAGTGTGTAACTGAAGCATAACTTTTGCATCTTTATAGTTCAGTCTTCTAGATATAAAAGCCAGCATTCCATTACATTTATTGATTATTTTCTGCACTGTTCATGGTATTTTAAAGGTCTATGCAGCCGGACCCCCAAGTCTCTTTGGACATCCACTATATTTGACTTCATTCCATCTGTAAAGTACCCTGTTTTATAGAGTCATAGAGTCATGCAGCATGGAAACAGACCCTTCAGTCCAACCTATCCATGCTAACCATAATCCCAAACTAAACTAGCCCACCTGCCTGTACTTGGCCCATACCCTTTCAAACATTTCTTATTCATGTACTTATCTACATGTCTTTGAAATGTTGTTACACTACCCACATCCACCACTTCCTCTGGAAGTTCATTCCACAGATGAACCACTCTCTGTGTAAAAACATTGTCCCTCCTGTCTTTTTGCCATCATAATCACAAATCTACCCCCGCTCAGGGACAATATGCGATTGCTGAGTGCTGGGTTAGTATGAAATCATAAGATACGGGAGCAAGAGTAGGCCATTCGGCCCCTCAAGCTTGCTCTACTATCTGATACTTGATCTGATTGAGACCTTAGCTCTATTTTCAACAACAACAACAAAAACAGAAGTTGCTGGAAAAGCTCAACAGGTCTGGCAGCATCTGTGAAGGAAAAAACAGAGTTAGCGTTTCGAGTCCGGTGACCTTTCCTCAGAACTGGAACTTAGTCCCATTTTCCTGCCTGTCCACCCATGAGCCCTGGCTCCCTTGTTGATAAACATCTCCTCAACTTTGCTTGTTACATGGTAACCCCATTTCAAAACATCATCATTGGCTGCGATGCCCGAGGTGGCCAAGGTGCCAGGGAAATGCAATTTTTTCATTCCAGTTTCATTAATGCTTGCGCATGAGCCACTGTATCTCACACAAAGACTCAGTTTCACAGTCGTTACGTCTTAAGTATAATGTAATAAGGCTTTATGCTGGAAAAGCATTAAAAAATAAAATCACCTGATTCATTAAAATAAAACAAGAAACTAGGAGTGGGAGCAGGCCATTCAGCCCTTCGAACCTGCTCCTCCATTCAATAGGATCATTCCAGAATCTTTCATTGGTTCAAAATGGATAACCTCACACTTGCTTACGTTGAACTCCATCTGTCACAGTTTTTCCAATTCACTTAGTCTATCAATATCTCTACTGGTTTAAGCTATTATCTACACTGTCTGCAATGCCGCTCCGCTTTGAATCATCAGAAAATTTGGGTGTATGACTTTCTATCCATTATCCAAGCTGTTAATAAATAATGTGAATAATTGAAGTCCTAGTATAGATCCTTATGGGACACATCCTGTCAATTTGAGTACCTACCCATTTCTTTCTGTCTCCTATCTATTATCCAATTTCCCAGCCATTTGCCCACCATTCAATTGGTCTCTACCTTAGTTAGCAGTTCCTTATGGATGACTTTATCAAATGTCATCTGGAAGTCCATATAAGCAACATCCATAGACATTCCCCTGTCCGTTATCTCAGTCACTTCTTCAAAAAAATTAAGCGAGGTGTTTCAGGTATCATCTATCTGTCGTGAATCCATGCTGGCTCTCCCTAATTAACTGAAAATTTTTGAGGTGTTCAGTTAACCATCCTTGATGAGATACCCCAAGAATTTCCCCACTACAAATGTTAGGCTAACAGGTCTGTAATTCCCTGGTTTTCCCCTTTCGCCCTTCTTAAAAAGGAAGAGTGATGCACAATTTTCCAATCCAGAGAGACAACTTCTGTATACAGGGGACTCTGAAAGATTATAGCTAGCCTAACTACAATGCGCTCCCCTCTTTCTTTAACACCCTCGAATGGAAATCATCAGGTCCCAGGGATTTCTCACTCTTTAATTTCATTAATGTCCCTGACTCCCAATTAATTTGCTCAGGACTCCAGTAAGCTATTCTCCCTTTCTACTGTAAATACTGCGACAAAATAATTATTCAACATGTCTGCCATTCCCCATAGTCATTGACATTGTATCCTCTTTCAATCTCCTTTCATAATGTCTTTTAGTAGCTCTTTTAAGCTGTTTTGTGATCCTTTGCTGGTCTTTGTATCTTTCCCATTCAGCAGGATCTGTGCTTCTTTTTCTACTTTTTTGTGAGCCCTTTCTCTTAGTTTTATGCTGTCCCTTCTCTCTTTATTTGTCCATGGCAGTTTTTTTTTCTGTGAAGTGGAGCTTTTCCCTCTCAGGGATATAAACTAGTTTTGTGTTGTGTTAAATGTTTCTTTAACATTTCTTCTACAGTGTTTTTTCTACACTGTTCTTCAGTGGTTTTACCCATTAACAGACTTTCCCAGTTTGTTGTGGACAGTTTCTGTCTGATCTCATTAAAATCAGCCCTACCTAACTCAAAAAATTCTAGTAGCTGACTCATATTTTTCACTTTCAAATGCTACATTGAACTCAATCATGTTGATAATGTTCACGCACAATTAAGTTACTAATTAAATCCAACTCATTACTCATTACTAAATCAGTTACTGTTTATTCTTTGTTGCATCAAGGAAAAATTGCTGTAGGAACCTATTCTGGACACACTCCAGAAATTCACAACCTTTCTGACAAGTGCTGTCTGTCTCTGCCAATCTGTACTAAAGTTAAAATCCCCTTTAATTCTACTCTGGCTTTGCTACAAACTTGGCCAATTTCTACATTTATACAATCTAGCACTTCAGAGTTGCTACCAGCTGGTCTATACACAATATCTATTACAATTTTAGATTCTTTAGCATTCCTCAGTTCCACCTGTACAGTCTCCAGATGATGCTTTCCCCTCATTAGATCCTCCCTCAGCATTGAAGTAATTTTATTTCTAATCAGCAAGGCTATTCCACCTCCCAAGCCATTTTCCCTGTCTGTTCTGTAAATTTTATAACCTGATATATTTAGTTCCTTGACCATTCTGCAGCCTTGTCTCAATAACGGCTACTGGATCATAATCTCCAATTTGTGCCTGCAGCTCACTTAATTTATTCCTTCCAACCAGTGCACTTGTACATAGAACTCCTACTTGGGCCATATATTAATATTTTATTCACCTATTTTTAATTTTTTTTTTCCAGTTTAATCGATACATTTCTTATCATGTTACTATTATCTGCCATACCTGAAGTAGATTCATAATGGTCTTAAAGTTTTATGCCCTTTACTTATTGATGTACTGACCAAGTAATTTTCTTTATATACCTATCAGAATATCTCAAAGTTTTGAACACTTTTACCCATTCTACTCTTAACCTTCTCTGTTCTAATTGAAAGGGTCTATGAAGCCAGTTGAGGCAGCAAAATTCTTCCAGCAGATTCTGGAGAAAGTCACTTTCAAGGCCTTGAGGGAGGACTTATCTCCTGGTTCCAAAAAATCAAACAACATAAGGGTTGAGGACCAAGGGTAGGGGATTTCTATGTTGGAAATTCTTGCTCTTAAGCACTCAGGACCCATTGCTTGACTGCAGAGGCTTACCTGATGTCACCTGGATCTTGGAAGATAGAAGATTAAAAGTAATTTTTGAAGGGGACTGAAGTTTCTCACTTCATAAGAGACAAGGGGCGCTCAAATTCTTTCAGGGTGTTGGGGTTTATGGCTCTCACCTCCAGACCTGTTAATTGCCACCTAACGTTCGTGAGCAAAGTTGGAGAGGCTACCTCATACCCTATAAACCCAGTAATAGTTGTGGCAGAGGTCCATCGTGGATAGTTCTTCTTGAACCATTTAGGTCACAGTCTTTTGAGAAAAGGTCTTACAATGTTCTCCGCAACCTCACTGGAAAATCAAACAAGACTAAACACTGAGCTAACCTTTCTATTCATCAGCTCAGGAATCTGTTATAATCTTCATGCAATATCTCAGAAGTGGTATCCAAACTTAAACTCTTTGGCAGATTTGTAACTTTTGATAATAGTACAAATGGATGATATTGGATTGATTGCTATTATATACATTGCCTTATCATACATTTAAAAGATGTCCCTTCTTTAAGATCCATTGCAACTAGTCACCTTTTTATTGAACTGCGTCCCACTGTTACCTTTACAAATATCCTATTCCACCTCATGGGGCTGAATCTTATGTTTTGTTTTTGGCTAAACGTCAGTTTTGTTGAGTTTCATGGAGGGTTTCTCCCCCCGAAGCTTAGCGTGTTTTCACACTACATCGTTCCAAACTCCGCTCTATGGCAATCCTTTTGTTGACTCTAGCCCCACTTTACAATATGCCATACCTGGAACAACTCACAAAGGCCACTGCGCTCCAGGACAAGCACTGTCAGTCTGGACAGCCCTACACAATTTCTAACATTTGCCCCAGATATGGCAGTGAAGGGGGAGTTGGGGTCCTGACTTGCGGGTATTGATCTGGACATTCTGTGGGCAGGTGGATGTAAGGGTGGGACGTCGTCTTCCCCCAGTGGAGGCCACGACTCCAGACCATGCCAGCTTGATCTGAAGTTGCTATCTGGATCAGGGCAGTTTCATCCAGCTGAAGGAACGCACTGCACTGTAGGAAGAAGGTCAATGACCTTCTCCATTCTGCCAGCAAATGTGCCATCATCTTCTCTCTCCAATATCCCATACTCAATTTATCTCTGCTACTGTACCCATTCCCCATTAAGGCTCATTCCCTACCACTCTCACAGCATTTTCCCTCACTCACTGTCACCCATCCCAACCCCTGATATTGCATGCCCTCTGCACTGCCTGCTCACTTAATCAGGGCACCTCAGCACCTTACCCCACCCTGCATCAACACTAACAACTGGGCCATCCATCTCCCTTAAAACTTGCCCCTCTTGCATTCTATGAAGAATCAGCCCACAATAGGGCAGAAAGAATCAAAATGGCAGTCAGCCTGCCTGACATTCAGCTCCTCACCTCTTGAAGAGGAGGGGATACTGACTCTGACCACCCTGAGCAGCTGACCAACCATCTCCGAGCCCTAGACTGGTGTCAGAGACTGCCCTTTGACCTACTGTGCTGAGTTTTGAACCTACCTCCTCTCACTCTATATCTATGAGCTCTTGTTTGAGACTGTTCCACAAGGGGGAACATCTGTTCAATGTCCACCTTATCAATCCCCTTTAGCATCTTATATACCTCAATCAGATCCCTCCTCATACTTCTGAAATCCAGCGAGTACAAGCTGAAGTTATTCAACCCCTCCTCGTACGACAGCCCTTTCATCCCTGGAATCAATCCAGTGAACCTCCTCTGAACTGCCTCCAGAGCTAGCACATCCTTCTGCAAGTAAGGAGACCAAAACTCTACACAATATTCCAGGTGACATCTCACAAATGCCTAATATAATTCTATAAAACTTATTTACTTTTACAACCCAGTCCTTTTGCAAGAAATGCCAGGATTCCATTTGCCTTTCTTATTCTATGCTGCACCTGCATACCCACTTTCTGTAATTCATGCATAAAGGTGCCCAGATCCCTCTGCACTGATGCATTTTGAATGTGCTTTCCATTTAAACAATAATTTGCTGTTTTATTTTTCCAGCCAAAATGGACAACCTCCAATTTATCCACATTAAACTCCATCTGCTAGATTCTGGCCCATTCTCCTAGCCTATCAATATCCATCTGTAAACTCTTTATCTTCTCATTACAGCCTGCTTTCCCACCTATTTTACTATCATCTACGAATTTTGCTATGTTACACTCTGTCCCCGCCTGCAGATCATTTATTTCAAAGATGCAAAAGTTGTTTCTGACTTTGAGAAAGGCCTTACTGGATCTCTGGTGTGAGTCTGCCTCATTTCACACCATAGCCCATGTCACTCATGCCCCTATATGATTCTGCCTCAGTGTTTCCACTTTAAAGTTCATTGACCTCCCTTCAGTGTAATAATAATCCTATTTTGCCACCTTATTTCCTACCATGCCCCCATCGTTGCCCTTTGCATTTACTTACTGTATACAGTCAGCTTGACTGGTGTGCTTCGAGAGCTGCTGATAGGGTTCTCCACCATACAGCTGTAAAGGTCATCATCGGTTATGTGGACCCGTGTGATGGTCAGAGTTTTCTGATCACTGGACAAAGAGAATCTTTCATCATCATCTAGGGGCTTCCCTCCTTTCATCCATGTATATATCGGTTTGGTTCCATTTTCATGTGAGCAGTTCAGTGTGACATATTCACTCAATTCCAGGACAGTAGAGGATGATAGCACCACCACAGGCTTCGTCACAGGGACTGGATAAAACAAAGAATAAATTCACAAAAGGTACAAGGCAATAAAACACACAACAAAGATTTGCTTGTTGGAGAACTTTTAAGTTTGTAAATCCTCGTAAGACCACTTTACAGAAGCATAGTCGGATACATAATGATGTAGAGTAAAAGATGGAGGAATTAGGGTAAGCGAGTAAAAACATGATCAATGTCTTCGGAGGCAGAAACAGTTTGAAGAGTTTTAGGGAATGAATTTCAGAAATTCAGATTTAGACAGTTAAAGTCGCAAAAACCAAAAGGAAGATGAACATAGCTTGAGCTTTTGAAGGACTTGGAGTTGGTGGAGGTTACAGAGACAGGGAGGAAACAATCACAGGGGGTTTTGAGTGAGGATTTTTTTTATATTTAAGGCACTGGTGGATTAGGAGTCAATGCAAATCAGACTGCACAGGGGTGATGGTTGAACACAATTTAGAGCAATACAGGCGACAGAGTTGGATGAGCTGTAATTAATGAAGGGTGGAAACTGGGAAACCAGCCAGAGAAACTATTCCTCGGGTTAACTACTTCAGCAATAACCTGTGGCATTCATGAGAAAGGTATGGAGTTACCATGCTCTGGCTGGGAAGGAGTGGTGGGATGGTGGTATGGCCACTGCCAGTGATTTTATTGAGGTCAACCAGATAATTGCAACACAAATTGGGGAAACAGTAAATTTTTCCTTTGCCTCAACCATGAGTCTTAGGGACCTACCAACTGCATTTGTCAAAAGCAGTTGGTAAAACATTTTGACAATTTAATAACCCAATTTGATTTTGCCTGTTTCTTTTGGCGCTTCTGTTGACGCAGATGAAGTTAAGGTCTTTTAGTCATTACTATATATTGCTGATGCTTCTTGACTACCTTTCATCTCAGGCATAGTGGAACTTAGAAACCCAATCCCATTTCCTGTGCTAGTGTTTTCACTTTAAAGAAGGAATCATAGCCTGGTAGTCAGGAGAAGAAGCCAGAACTAATTTGCTTTCACTTATGAGTCAACCAACACTAATAACAACAAGAGTTCTCTAATCAGCATGACAAGAGCAACACTGCCTGAGAGTGAACTGAATTGTAGTGAACAAGAGAATGGCAAGTTTGACTTCCACTCTGAGCTGAGATAATTGATCTAAGCCAGACTGGTCTTAGTCTACATTAAAATTTTTGTGACCCCGGGTAGGAATGGGAAAATCAGACCATATCTTAGCCTCTACGTCAATGCAAATCAATTCTTCTTTCTTCCTTTCTATCTAAAGAAGTGTATTTCATAATATTTGGAATGAAATGGCCTGGACGAAGGGATTGAATGTATCGTGGTCAAATTTTCTGACAATAGGTAGGGAAGGAAGTTGTGAGGAAAATACAAGGAGTTTGGAAAAGGATATACAAAGGTGGGACAACATGGCAAATGGAGTATAATATGGAAAGCTTGTCCACTTTGGTATGAAGAATAGAAAAGCAGAATATATTTTAAATAGCAGTGGACCACAAAGTTCTGTGGTATAGAAGCATCTACATGTACTTGTACATGGAATCAGAAAGAGTCAGCATGCAGGTATAGCATGTCATTGAGAAACTAAATGGAATGTTGTCCTTTATTATGAAGGGGATAGAATATAAAAGTATAGAAGTCTTATATCTGTATAGGGTATTGGTGGGACTTCATCTTGAGTACTGAATGTAGTTTTGCTCATTTTATCTGGTGAGGGCACCACGATAATGATATAATTTGGACTGATATATTTTAGATACCCAGGACTTTAAAAGTATATATTCATTTCACCTTGTTTTTGAACTGGACATTATTTTTCAACTTGTGTGTATTAGACGTTCTTAGAGAAGATATTTTTCTATTAGAGGAAGTTCAAAGAAGATTCACCAAAGGGTGAAGAAATTCTCTTATGAGGAAAGATTCAGCTGCTTGAGCCGATACTCGTTAAAGTTTAGAAATGTGAGTGGTATTCTTGTGGATGTATATAAGATTTTGTAGGAATTGACAATGTGAAAGGATGTTTCTGCTCAGGGAGAAACTGAGAACTAGGAGCATAGATTCAAAAACAAGGGTTTCTCACCGAAGATGGAAATGAGAAGATGTTTCCTTTTTATGAGGGTCAATAGAGTTTGGGATTCTCTCTCCATAAGGACAGTGAAAATTGGCACATTGAAATATATTCAAAGCTGAGTTTGAATTCAGGAGAGATTTAGAGTCATAGAGTCATAGGCATATACAGCAAGGAAAGAGACCCTTTGGTCCAACTCATCCATGCCGACCAGGTATCCTAAATTAATCTAGTCCCATTTGCCAGAATTTGGCCCGTATCCCCCTAAACCCTTCCTATTCATATACCCGGCCAGATGTCTTCCAAATGTTGGAATCGTACCAGTGTCCACCACTTCCTCTAGCAGCTCATTCCATACGCGCACCACACTCTGCATGAAAAAAATTGCCCCTCACATTCTTTTTAAATCTTTTCTCTCACCTTAAACCCATGCCATCTAGTTTTGGACACCCCACCCTGAGGGAAAAACCTTGACTATTCTCCCTACCCATGCCCCTCATAATTTTATAAACCTCTGTAATGTCACCCCTCAGCATCTGACGCTCCAGGGAAAATAGCCCCAGTTTATTCAGCCTCTCCCTATAGCTCAAACCCTTCAACCCTGGCAACATCCTTGCATATCTTTTCTGAACCCTTTCAAGTTTCACAACATCTTTCCTATAGCAGGGAGGCTAGAATTGCATGCAGTATTCCAATAGTGGCCTAAGAAATGTCCTATACAGCCACAATATGACCTGTCAGCTCCTAAACTCAATGCACTGACCAATAAAGGCAAGCATACCAAGCGCCTTCTTCACTATCCGATCTACCTGCAACTCCACTTTTAAGGAATTATGAACCTGCACTCTCAGGTCTTTTTGCTCAGCAACACTCCCCAGGACCTTACCATTAAGTGTATAAGTGCTGCCCTGATTTGCCTTTCCAAAATGCAGCACCTCACATTTATCTATATTAAACTCCACCTGCCACTCCTCAGCCCATTGGCCCATCTGATCAAGATCCCATTGTACTCTAAGGTAACCTTCTTCGCTGTCCACTACACCTCCAATTTTGGTGACATCTGCAAACTTACTAACTATACATCTTATATTCACATCCAATCCTTTATATAAATGACAAAAAGCAGTAGACTACATACCGATCCTTGTGGCACACCTCTGGTCACAGGCCTCCAGTCTGAAAAGCAACCCTTCACCACCGCCCTCTGTGTTCAACCTTCAAGCCAGAACATTTTACCAGAATATTGCTGGGTATGGAAGGTTTGAGTTATAAAGATAGGCTGGATGGTCTGGGACCTTTTTCACTGGGGCGTAGGAGGTTGAGAGGTGACAATATAGAGGTTTATAAATTCATGAGGGGTATAGATAGAGTTAATGGTAGGTGTGTTTTCCCTAGGATGGGTATTTTTTCAAGAATACAGGGCATATTTATAAGGTGAGAGGAAAGATGTCTTAAAAAGACATGGGGGTAAATATTTTACACAGAGGGTGGTTCGCATGTGGAATGAACTGCCAGAGGAAGTGGATAGATGCAGGCACAGTTACAATATTTAAAAGACAAACATGAGTGCATGAATAGGAAAGGTTTGGAGGAATATGGGCCAGGAGGAGGCAGGTGGGACAAGCTTAATTTCGGCATGGACTGGTTGGATCAAAGTGTCTGTTTCCATGTTATATGACTCCATGACTCTATAAAGAATTATGGAGTACAAGAAGTAAAATGGGGTTAACATCACATTACATCAGCCATAATCTTACTGAATGGCAGAGCAGACTTGAGCAGCCATATAACCTCCTATTTCTATTTTTTTATTACCCCGTATTGGCTATGGACAGAATTAGCTTTGATAACACCCTACCCTTTAGCTGAACAATTCTGTGAAACTCAACATATAAAAAATGTCTATTTGAAAGTGAGACCTGTGTCCACCATGCTGTAGATAGTTTGTGTGGAATTGAAAGCTTGAAGGGGAGGACAGCAATTGGTAAATAACTCAGCATAAGTCAGAACATGATTACACTGACAGTGTGTTACTTACCATCAACAGTTAAATTGAGTGTCTTCACTGCAGTGGAGGCATCATCTGTGATTGCGATCTCGACTTCATACATTCCCTCATCGGTTGGCTGCAAGTTGTGGATCCACAGGGATCCGTTGCGGAAGATCATAATCCGATCCTTGTATTCTGGCCGTAGCTTGCCCAGGATGCGTGTGCCAAAGGACTGGATCAAAGGGATGGGCTTGTCCCTCTTCAACTGCCACTGGATGACTGGAGTCTCTGAGCTGCTAGTTGTGTAATGTATAGAAAGTAAGATGGATCCACCCACAATGCCGTGCGTAGTGAGCTCTTCTGCTGTTATATTCACTCCCTGTACTGACACTGGAACAGCAAGAATATATAAGCCATCAGAAAGGAGTATATTCAGAAGAAAATCAGAAGCTGAATTGGATTATTGTTACCTTGCCTATTAATTGTTGCTATCCAGTTTTGAGACAGATACAAACTTGAAGAAGAAGAAAGTTATTGCTTTTATATCACACCTTTCACAACCTCAAACCCCTTCAGATTCCAGGAAGTACTTTTTCAGGGGTAGTTGCTAACCTAATATCAGGAACATCACAACTGTTTGTGCACTGCAAGCTGCTTCAAACAGCAACGTGGTCATTGACCAGATCATGGGTTTCAGTGTGGTTTATAAACAGATTAATATTGGGATGGAATATGAGGAGGACACTCTTGTTCTTCTTCAAACAGGAACACAAATCTTTGCCATTACCCAACAGAGGCCAGGCAGGATCAGAGATTAATATCTCAACACCTTCAGCAGTGAAGCAACAAGATGTTGAAAAATGTTGGGAAAGAAGCAGTGTAGAATCCCTACAATGAGGAAGTAGGCCATTCAGCCCATCAAGTCCACACCACACACGGTAGCTCAGTGGTTAGCACTACTGCCTCACAGTGCCAGGGACCCAGGTTCAGTTCCAGCCTAGGGTAACTGTCTGTGTGGAGTTTGCACATTCTCCTCATGTCTGCGTGGGTTTCCTCCAGGTGCTCCGGTTTCCTCCCACAGTCCAAAGATGTGCAGGCTAGGTGGATTGGCCATGCTAAATTGTCCGTAGTGGTCGGGGATGTGTAGATTAGGTGGGTTACTGGGGGACAGGTCTGGGTGGGATGTTCTGATATTCAGTGTGGACTTGTTGGGTCGAAGGGTCTGTTTCCACACTGTAGGGATTCTAAGATCTATGATCAAATAAGCATCCCACCCAGATCCACCCCATCCATGTAACCCTGCATTCCCCGTGGTTAACCCACCTAGACTGCACATCCCTGGACACTATGAGCAATTTAGCAAGACCAGTTCACCTAACTGGCACATCTTTGGACTAGGGGAGGAAACCCACGCAGACACAGGGAGAACGTGCAAATTCCACAAAGACAGTCACCCGAGGGTCGAATCAAATCCAGGTCCCTGGCACTGTGAGGCAGCAGTGCTAACCTCTGAGCTTCTATGCCACCAGTAGTTTGCGAGTTTGTTTTTGTTTTGAAGAAGAGTGCAGATTTAAAGGGAAATGACAGCCATCTCCACGTTTTATCCACTGTTGTCTATGTGACCCTTTTACTGCAATGCTGGAACTTTGTAAAATTCCTGTGCAACTGCATGTGTGCATATGCTAAAGGAACTTCAGTTTACATGGCTCCTGTGCTGCACGTTGTCAATTAGGGTGTGGCCACGCACCTACGAGCTTAGAGATAATGATGGACAGAATTTGAAGAGAAAGAATTGACAACAAGAGCAGCAAATACAGGGACTAAGAGTGGAAGCTGGCTGCTCAGCAGTTTCATGAAAATAGGTTTAAGGTAGTAGGAGCTGATTCTCCTGGAGTAGATAAACTTGGAGAGGGCTTTTTTTATTTTAAATGCTTCAATCTATAAAACCCAGGATCCCATTTATTCTTTGCAATTATTGTCAGTGTACAGCAATGCAATCAGCCAATGAATGGGGATGAGCATGTTTCCTCATGTCCTATGTAAGTAGGCAGCTAATTGTCCATGAGAGACTGTAGGCATTATTCTCTATTAGGGAGAGACAATTGGTTATAAAGTTTGAGGGACGTCTCTTCACATCAAGCACAGGCAAGCAAGGACGAAAGTCTTAATAAAGACCGCGATAGAAATGCAGATGCTGTGATCAGAAATGAAAACATAAAATGCTGGAAAAGCTCAGCAGGTCTTACAGCCTCTGTGGAGATTCATTAGAGTTAACACTTTGGGTCAAGTGACCCATCTTCAGAAGGTCTTAAGTTTACTTCAGTCAGAACAGGAAGTGAACCTGTGCTGCTGGTGGCATTCTGAACTATACACTATCCATCGAGCCATCTGAGCTTACCAGCTGTCTAAGCTACATAAATATACAAATAGACCTGCCATCGAATTGCCCACTCCACTCACTTGCGTGCATCTCCTTGCAACCTTCCTCACAGTTTACAGTACATACAATTTGTTATCATCACCAAGCTTGAATATGATTCTTTTCTTTTGTGCCTGTGTTTAAAGCTGTGGACAGGGCAGTATATCAGGCCTAATGACTGCTGTACTCAGGTCGGTGGGCTGAGACAACTGTGTTTGGGCTGGGGTGGGGTCTTCAGTGTTTGGATCTAAGCTGGGGCTGCTGCACTTGGGCCGGGGGCAAGGCTGGGGATCCAGGCCATGAACATGGCCAGGGCCCATGATTGTAGTCCCTGACCCAGTCTGTGCCTATCCTATTCACGTAAATGGAAAACAAAAGAGACAACAGAGGCACATATCCATGGGCACACAATCTCTAAATTCTGTGAAAGAGTGAATCATCCTTTGAATGAATGCAGTGCCACAGCTGAGCCATTTTCTAATGCATTAGTCTTGATGATGATTTCCACAAACATTACTATAGCCACTGTAGTTATGTGGCTAGTCAAGTTCAGTTTCTGGTCAATGGTAACTCCCAGAATATTGATATTGGTGGATTCAGTGAGGTCATGCCATTGAATGTCAAGGGGTGACGGCTAGATTCTCTCTTATCGGAGATGGTCACTGCCCGGCATTTGTGCGGCATGGTTATTATTTGCAACTTGTCTGCCCAAACCTGGATACTGTCCAGGTCCGTGTTGCATTTGGACTGCTTGTGTATCTGAGGAGTCACGAATGGTGCTGAACATTATGCATTTGTAGGCGAACATCCCCACTTCTGACCTTATGATGGAGAGAAGGTCATTGATGAAGCAGCTGAAGATGGTTGGGCCTAGACTACTCTGAGGAACTCCTGCAGAGATGTCCTGAGGCTGCAATGACTGACCTTCAAAAATCACACTATCCTCCAGTGTGGCAGGTATGGTTCCAACCAGCAGAGATTTTGCCCCCTGATACTCATAGTTTCCAGTTTTGCGAGGGCTCCTTGATGCCACACTTGTTCAAATGTGGCCTTGACGTCAAGGGCAGCTAGTCTCACCTCACGTCTGGAACTCAACTCTTTTATCCATGTTTGAACCAAGGCTGTAATGAGGTCAGGAGCTGAGTGGCCCTGGCAGAACCCAAACTGGTTGTCACTGAGCAGGTTATTGCTGAGCAGGTGCTGCTTGATAGCACTGTTAATGACACGTTCCATCACTTTACCGATGATTGAGAGTAGACTGATGGGGCGGTAATTGGCCGGGTTGGATTTGTCCTGCTTTTTGTGTGCAGGGCATACTTGGGCAATTTTCAGCATTGTTGAGTAGATGCTGTACTAGCCCACTGTTGCCTGGATCTAACATTAAACTTAATCCCGCTGGGCCTGTAGGGTGGCCATGATATTAATTGGCAAACCAGAAGTTGGAAAATATCATAACATTTTTTTTGCTCTACCTGAACTGCTAATGAGTGTTACTAAAGGAATTTTCCGGTCCTCCAATGAAATTAGGGTGACACTTATCAGAGTGCAGCCTATGGCAAGAACCTACACATGGAGTCTTTTACCATGGGGAGGCTGTTATGCTGCAGATTTCACTGATCAGGAAACTCCCATGCCCTTACAGCATGCTGTGAGCATGTTGAAAGGAGTTGCAGGTTAATGCTCAGCATAAAATCCCAGGGCAGGACACAAACTCTGACCTTCTGACTCAGAGACAGGGTCACTACAGAAACTGCAATATAAGACTTCCCCAAATAAATGATTCACAGAATTACTGATATAGAACAAACTACTTTACTGTGCTATCATAGTGTAAAACACCAGGAGGTCAGCCCATAAGCGATTAATGTGGCCATTTTCAAACATCCAACTCACTGGAAACAAAACAATGGAATAAACTCAACGCTAGTACAGTCTTTCAATTATTGTGTGTTTCCCACTGTGGGAATGTATATAGTATACACTTTGTTATTGAGACACTTTCTTCCAACTGAGTCAAGCTGGAAACACAACACATTATCAGGGTCACATTGCTGTTTGTAGCTGGGATAATCGGCCATGCAGATTTGTCAGTTTTGTACTTCAATTCACAATGGAGCTTGTTTGCACATCTGGTCTGAGAACAAATGACTGCATATGTTCATTAATTAATTCCTAAATAATGGAATATTGACATTACCAACAAACAATTGAAAAGCTCACATATTGGGTGGATTTGATTCAGCAGCTCTATGGGGATTGTGAGCCGAAAATTTGCTGAGAGCCAGAAAGACAGATATATTCCCAGAGGTGACCTCCTCACTGGTTCTCTCTGGGCTTGTTATTCCTGTGGAAGATGCCAGCAAACCTAAAGCTTTGTCAGCTGTACCAGGTAAAGTGGCTGCTACTTAAACAACTCAAAAATTATACAAAGCTGCTTCAAAGTTGAGGCACTGTTAGAGAGCACGGTTTCATTTAAGTCAAAAATATTAAATGGTCAAGTCTGGAGCGAGCCATGGAACAGAGGGGCGAGCCCTGTAAGGGACAGCTTTGGGCTGCACATTGGCCTTTCCTTCATGCAATTCCTTCAATGGTGCTTGCAGCCTCCAGTCCCTGGGCTATTGCAGGTCTCTCACTCCGAGAAGGATTTGGACAGGCTCCGGGAATAGACAAAGAATTGATGGAATACAAAGTGGAAAAGTGTGAGGTTATGCACTTTGGTAGGAAGAATAGAGGCATAGACTATTTTCTAAATGGGGAAAGACTTTGGAAATTTGAAGCACAAAGGGGATTAGGAGTCCTAGTTCAGGATTCTTTTAAAATTAACATACAAGTTCTGTTGTCAGTAAGGAAGGCGAATGCAATGTTTGCATTCATTTCGAGACAGCTAGAATACAGGAGCAGAGATGTGCTGCTGGGAGTGTGTAAGGCTCTGGTCAGACTGTATTTGGAATATTGTGAGCAGTTTTGGGCC